CTCAATACCCGTTTACCATTCCGATTCGAAGTTGCCCGATAGGGCCGAACCTCGTCTCGATCGGTAGCTAGACTTTGGCCTCCTCTGACTGGGGCCCCCGTACTTTGCTTCTCTCCCTTGGAAAAAAATCACAAATGACAGATGAGCCGACACATCAAATGACTTTTTGGAAGTGTTATCAATCGAATTAACAATAATTTATAAACATAAACTCTATAACAACATGATATTTTTAAACACACTATTGAGTATACATTTTAATACATATCTTTGTTATCCTTTAAATGAGCAATTCTTGTATATATATATATATATATATATATATATATATATATATATATATATATATTGGAATCTCGGAAACGGCTCCAGCGATTTTCATGAAAGATCTCTCCAGAGATTCGGGAGCGAAAAATCGATCTAGCTAGGTTTCATTTTTAGAAAATGTCGTTTTGAATGGTAAATTTCACCGAAAAAAAAAAATTTTATAATAGCTCGGTCGGTAATCGGGCGGCCGCTAACAAACAGCCACGAAACAGAAGGTCATGGTTCGTATCACGATCATTTACACACTTATTTTTTTTACTTTTTTTTCGATTCCAGATCATTGCTTTCTTTATCTTTTATTTTTTGTCGTTTTGTTATTTTGTTATATTTTTCCCTTTTTTTTAAAGTTCTTACTTTTGTGAAAAACACCAGTTCATATTTTCTTATTATTACGTCGGTAAGATCGAAACATATTATGCACATTTCATTACTTAGTAATGTGTATCTAAATGTAATTTTCAAAATACACGATTTACCAAAAAAAAAAAAACAAACTGAGCAAAGCTCGGTCCTCCAGGTACTATTATATTAATCTATCAAGTGAAAACAGTTCGAAGAGCCGTTATGTCAGACTTTGTCGAATGCTTTTGCTACATTGAAGAAAAGTGCACCAGTAGGTACTTATGTGTTTATGGTCATGGGAAGTCTTTCGGAATTTGCTCTATCAAGCTAGGGTTGATGAGGATGTAATTATAAGGAAAAGGATGAGGATGAGGATTTTTTTAGAAAAGAAATTGGGGATGCGGATCAGGATGAGGATCTGCTATGAGGAAGAGGAAGAGGATGAGGATGAGGAAGAGGAGGAGAAATAAGTAACAGCATAATAAAAATATTCTTTTTGGGCAAAATATATATTATTAACGTTTTACAATAAAAAACCTTTGTATTTTTTGAAGATAATAACAAATTACTTTTATGGGAAAGTTTTTATTTTTTTTTTGTTAAAATTAGTGCTAAAATAATGAAATATTTATATTTAAAATTTAAGTAAATTGAATTTAATAAATAATAATTAAGATACTGTTTCTCCTGATAAATGGGTTCGTAGTTCATCGTAAACCAGCACCGCTAAAAAGGCGTTCACTGGGAACACTTGATGGAGGGGTTGATAAACTGCATAAAGTTCAAAATATTTTGGGTTTACTTTCCACCATGAAAGACTGTCTCCAGTAAAATTCAGTCTCTTTCCTTTAATATAATCAGCTAACAGTGACTTAACTAAAGTATGTCTGTTTATTGGTGAGCATGATTCGCTATTTTCATCGTCACAGGTGCTGAATTTAGCATATCAACTAACATAGCATTCAAAATTCTGTTTTCATCACGCGCTGCCACAGGACTGGCCGTGGAGGAGTGTCGGTTCTCGACATTCTGCGGTTACCTACGTAATTTCAAAAGGCATTTAGTCGAATTTTTTTAATGATAACCATTATTATTTAGAATATTGCTTCATTAAAATTAAAAATTGCTATTACAGAAAACTTATAAATGAAATATATCTAGTCACAAAATGCAACAAACAAAAAAAAACTATTTTAAGAAGCTGTTCTAATCATAATAACAAACCGGCGGATTATTTGTCACTTCCACTTAAAATTACTCTTAATAAGAGGAAGAGGAGGAGGATTTTGTAAAATTTATTTTGTGGAAACGGATGAGGAAGAGGATTCGTGAAAAAATAAGGAAGTGCCGCATTAAGAGGAAGAGGAATAGGAATGCCCATCAACCCTATATCAAGCGAAAGATTTTAGAGATTTTATTAAACGCTCTAGTTGCTCTGAAGGAATAAGGTCATTGGAGTAAACTTAGTCGTAAATGTAGCCCATCAACCTTCAAAATAAAGCGCCCATCTTCATACTTCTTGTCCAAGAATTTGAGGAAACAGATCAGGCGATATAGCTCCTCACCTATTTGGGCAGTTTGTTCAGCTTGAGAATGAACGAGCAGCTGGAGAGAATAGAATTTAAAACAAATAACGTCTTTTAATTCTTTATTACTTATCTTATAGCCGTGATAGCTCAGTGTCCGGGCGTTCGCCTTTAATTCAATACACTCGAGCAACCTGAGTTCGATCCCCGGTACCGGCACCAATGATGATTTTAACTTTAAGTGCTGACTTATCATGTGCTCCGCGGTGAAGGAAAGTATCGTGAGGAAACCTGCATATTTTCGAAATAATTACAAAAAAATATATTTCGAAGATATGTGAAGTCCGCCAATCCGCAGGAGGGCCGCGTGGTGGACCATGCCCTGATACCCATATTATAGCCGAGGCCTTTGCCCAGCAGTGGGACATGTATAGGCCGTTACTTTTTTTTACTTTACTTATCTGACCAAAGGTATCTGAGCAATGGGAAGCTCAAAGGGTAGTCTGCTGTTGGTAACACAGATCTACTTTTTATTTATTTTTTTATTTTAGAAAGCGGCAAACGAGTTGGCATTTCAACTGATGTTAAGTTATGACCGCCGCCCATGGACCTTTGTAACACCCAGAGGGTTGCAGATGCGTTGCCACCTTTTAATAAAGAGGGCCACGGCTACCTCACTCGCCAGACGAAATGCAGAAGTGTAATTCTTTTACTTCGAGCCGGTCTTCTGTGAGGTTGTGGTACTAACCCGGACGGACCTGCACTTGGTGCAATAGCAAAAACTGTTGCGTGGCTCTACCACAGTAACGTTAGACAACGTAGACGACCTCGAACTGGTGAACTGGAGTTACGTGTTGGCGAGAGCGGTATCGGTGGAAGTTGCAGTTACCCCTGTTCTCTTGTTAATCTGCTCTCTTAGATCGGGCCGAAAATTAAAGCATCAATCACCCGACACTTTCACTTTTTCATTTCATTATAGCCTTCCATCATCGAACCTAACATACAAAAAAGTAAGAAAAGTTTTTCGCCGCTGTGGGAATTGAACCGACGTCTTTGGTATTCGCACCCATACGCTTTAACCACTGAGCTAAATGGCTGATCGCGACAGCGAGAAAAATGTTAGTCTTTTCACTACATTATTTTTTTACATTTCAAGCCATGCTTGATGCATCCATTGTTGTATCCTTTATTATAATTATAACGTTATATCTTAGGTAAATAGATTTGCACTATAAAAAATTTAATTTCTAATAGCAATGGCGTATGCTGTAAAGGGGTCTTGCGACTTGGGTCACTTGCACAAATTACAGTCGCGTTAAGAAGTTTGTAACTTTATCCATCTGACCCCTTAATAATTTTCATGTTGTTTGACATGATGGCTTGTGCTGCCGACGTCTTTTCTGCTACAATCGCAGGGTGCTTTTTACCCTTTTTGTGCTTGCCAATGACGACGACGAAGCTATTATCATTTATAGGCTGTTACATGTCATACGCTGAAGGGGTGGCGACACAGATGGTGCAATGCCGGAATTGATTCCTGCAGAAGGTTGTCAGTTTCAGCAGTAAGAAGTTTTTAGCATGAAATGTGCGAAAGGGGTAAAATGATGGTGTGGTAGCCAGCGTCACGGGGTTATCTCTTTTGTTTGTGGAAATTTGTTTATGTTCAGCTGCGAAAGCTTAAAATCCTCAAGTATGACATCCATGGCGAAATCGTAGCCTTTGGGGCTTAGGGCCTCGACGGTGGTTAGTAAAATTAAATATCTAAATCATAACACATTATGGCGAAGATGTGCCCACGAAAATTAATCAAACTTCCTGCACTAGCTATTAAATAACAATAAAAACTCCACGAAAGTAATTCAAAAGTGACCTGACACACAGGGATATTTTGAGTAAATTACAAATCAGACACCTCACGATCGCTGATGAACGTAAAAAATAGATACTCGCACATGTTCTATGCCGTTATAGCATACTATCGAACGCCTTCGCGAAGTCAATAAGAAATCCAAATTTACTCCTGCAGTTATGCTTCTGGGAGTCTTCAGAGTGACGATTAGAAAGATTGTGCTCCATGAGGTACTGTGGTTGAAGGGCGCTTGAGTTTTTTAAGGGCTGGATTTTTTACTATTGATCTGGTTTTCGTACACTCTAATAATAATTCATTATAAAACTGTAGCATTCTAGTTCACATATAATATAATTATTTATGAAGCTTATAAAATAAAGGAAAAAATTGCATACTATTAAAACTTGTACAATTGTATAGTGATTTAAAACATTTTTGATGAATGTATGCTAGGTGATGACGTTATCTGACCCAGGTCTAAATATTTCATACTATTGTAAGCTGCGTAAAATGGAATTGCTTTGTTTTAAGAAATTCAACCATCTGTCATTCTCTCTTGGTTTATTTTCGTCATTTCATTTGTGCAGTGTACCTATTCATCACTTTAGCCTTACAAAATTCTTTGTATCCTTGAACTATTTAATTTTAATTTTTAGTGTTATTATTTGTGTTGCCTATGATTATAAAAAAACTTGGTAATACAAATCCTTTGTATGAAATTAACAGCTGTGTATTCGCGAAACTTTTTGTACGTTTAATAGCAAAAGTCAAGAAAGTACAGGCACTGAGTGGCGTCTGCAATAAATAAATAAATACATAAAATAATATTAAGTGTAGGATTTGAGATATAAATAATGACTCAATTCAATAGACGTGATATAACATATAGCGCATTAAACAACGAATTAACTCCTCCCCTGGGGCGATCTGTACAAAACGCAAATGCTTCTCCTACAATGATTACATTAGACCATGATCATGATGATTCGACCAATGTTATCATACATAAAGTACCAAAGACCAAAGGTAATTGTTTATTGCATGTTTCTTTGTTTATATGTATAAGTAAATTTCTATTTATAAACCTGGCTTAAAATATCACATGCTATTTCTATTGGTTTATTATAGTTTCTTTGTCTCAATAATGTATTTGAGTGGATATGTTCTTTATGTCTTATGTTATTCTTATATTTTTGCCTTGATAAATAGACTAAAAATAGACTCTTTTACAGTTGTTAAACCAAAATTACAATTATGATGACCAAAATGTGATGTTAAAGAATATTGTTTTACTAAACAGACTATGATTTCTAGTAGATATATTTCAATTTAAAATCTAAAATTTCTGCTTTTTATTTTTCTTTCTTCATAAACCTTTTTTATAACTTACTCAAACAGAAAACATGAATTTTCATGTATTGAAATATGAGTAAGTTTGCGAAACCATTTAATGGTATAAAATGTATATTAACATAATTTTTCCAGGGGGTTGGACACATATTGAAGATCTTGACTCTTTTTTCACAAGAATGTACAAATATTATGTCCGTGGAGGTTTTTATCCAATGATAATGTCAGATCTGTTCTATTTGCTGCAATTTATATTCATTGTTTGGTTCTCGACATTTCTAGTACATTGTGTAGATTATCAAAAGTTGTTTAGAAATGATGCAAACGCAAATCGGAGTGAGAAATTGAGTCTTAATGATGTAATATACCCTGAATGTGTAACTAGGATATCATGGAGATGGTAAAAAAAATAAAACTTTATATTTATTTTCAAATATGGCATTTAATACATTTCATTTATATGCCTTTTACTTTCAGGTGGTGTGTTGTAGCATTATGTGCAGTTATTTGGACCTTCAGATTTTTCTTATCAATGTACCACTTATATTATGCCTATGATACAAAATTATTCTATAATAGTGCTTTAAAAATTAATGAGGTATGAAATAAAAGATCCATTTTTAGAATATGTTTCTGCAAAAAGTTTTTAGTTAACTTTTTTACACACCCATTTTCAGAATGACTTAGCGTGGATAAATTGGTCTACAGTTCAAGACAGAGTGAGAGAAGCGCAGCCTGAGCATCATATGTGTGTCCACAAACAAGAGATCAACGAATTAGATATTTATCATAGAATACTCAGGTAGATTAATAGTATTACCTTGAAAGTTATGCTGCTTTTTTTCATCTGGCATATCTGTGTTACTGTTTTTACTTCATAGAAGACAGACAAAGGTAATGATAAGCGCATGATGAACCTGTTGTCACACACCTAATCTCAAGGCTGTAGTTGTGTGATAAAGTGGTTTGTTAAGAATTGAATATCAACATCTTTGCATATAGCAGTATGTTTGTATTTATTTGTTTAATATTTAAGATAATAATATTCATTAAAGAAAAGAATAAAAATTTGAGCCATTTAGCAAGGTTTTGTTTGGTATTCATTTCTTACTCTGTGTATATGGCTATGATTTTATCAACATACATAATATGCATAAGTGCATCAATAATGATATTAATGTCGCAAATAAAAATTAATCTGTAATTTAATGAAATTCAATGTTTGTTAAAAATGTAACATAACAAGTTCTAATTCACTTATTGTTAAATTTGTGGTGCAGTTATAGTCTTTTTTTCTTTTTGCTGTAGGTACAGTAGAATGTTGATTCTCCGAAACAATTAGGACCGATGCTAGTTCGGATAATCGAGATTCCATCCTATCCATCATAAATGCAAATGTTGTGAGAGCCGCTCGAATTATTTTTTTACCTCGGTGATTGTTGCTTCTCAGACACCTTACAGAAGTGCTAGAGATGCGTTATTTTCGTCTTTATCTAACTTCCTTTTTTTTCCATCGTAAAACCATTACGTTTCTGCTTAAAGTTGAAGGACTCAACATTAAAGCCATGGCCCAATTTAATTAACAAACGAAATTAAAATTAAATTGAAAAAATTCTACATTGTTGCTCATGGCGGTGGCAACGAATAACAATATCTCTTTTGCTCCAAAGTTCGAATAGTTGAGCGTTCAAATAAACTAAGTTATCAAATGGGTAAATGAGTGGTCGGATGATCGCGGTTTGGATAATCGAGGTTCTACTGCACTCTTAAAAATAAATCTATTGAGCATGTTGAGAATTGAACCTATTTTTCTTTTACAGTGCAAATTTTAAATGAATACAATGATTTATTTTATTTGTAATGTCTATCCAGGTTTAATAATTACATGGTTGCGATGGTTAACAAGAATTTATTGCCTCTGCAAATTCATGTGCCTTGTGTGGGTGATTTTCATTACCTTTCCAAAGGCTTGAAATGGAATTTGGAATTCCTTTTGTTTTGTAAGTGTTCTTCAACACATTTGGCAATTACAAATTACTTGAAATTGATTAGACAGTAAGCAAAAATAATTTTATTTGTCGTGCAGCTAGTCCATGGAGTCCATGGGAAAACTGTTGGCAACTTCGTGAATGTTACAAAGATCATTCAAAACGAATGATACTCGCTAGACAACTGGAGAAACAAATATTAATATTGGCTATTTTTAACCTCTTGCTGGCGCCTCTTATACAAGGCTGGCAGATTCTGTATTTCTTCTTTAACTATGCAGAGGTTTGTTATATTGTTTACAAGATTATTTAATTTTTATTTTTTCATTGCATGCCATGCGAAGATAAATATTTAAATTATCATATTTATTTTAAGTACTGTAGAGTTATAATTTTTAAGGCATAGCTTGCATGCAATAATAACTTTGTTACATATTTCATATTGAAAGAAGCTTTAAGTATTTCTTTACGTTTTTTGACTACATGAATTATTACATTGAAAATATATTTCATAATTTACCATTTTTGTCATATAAAAATGCCTGTGGCGATGATCCATTACCTACCAGTTTCAATTGCAAGATCTTTTGAAATAAACTTTACGAAGTGCAACTGCTATTGCTCATCCATATATTATCTGATGGCCGGTTAGGTATTTGACATTAGCTTCATAATACTTATGTCAAAATTCTATCTCCAGTAACCACATCTATCCATAGACAGAATATTGAATACGGTAAATGAAAAAGTATGCTCTCAGATTCTCTATGATGAATGGTCCAAATTGCGGTATGTTTTATTAGCTACGCTATGCTCGCGTATTTATACACATATTGTCTAAAGAGACAATCGATGGATATTCATAGATTTCCCCAACGTCCGCAGTTGATAAAGCGTTCGCCCGCTTCCCTCGGACTGCGCACGTGGTCCCTCTACGCCCGCGTGACCTTGAGACATTTCAACGAGCTGGAGCACGAACTCCGCGACAGGCTTAACCGCGCCCATAAGCCGGCCACGAAGTACCTGGCGAGCTTCTCGTCGCCCATCACCACCGTTATAGCGAAGTGAGTGCCATTTAGCATTCCAGTATCAGCTGAAGTGATCTCTCCGAACTAGGTGTTTCACCATTTAATTCCAATTCTTTACTGCAATCGATATCTATGGAATTGGAAGCTCAACTTGACTGACGTGACATTGCCAGAATTCTTTTAAGAGAGGCCATTAATCAAAGAAGAAGAAGAAGAAGCCCAACTTGGTGGCTCTTAGTTTACATAGAAATTATAAAAAGGATGGATGTTAGCTTCGGTCAAGATTAATATAAAATTTGTTACTTAATATTTATTTAAAATGTTTAGTGAATGACTACGACTAGTTATTTCTTGTTAATCTTTTTGGCTTGTGTACAAGTTTAGTGTAGTTATTTAGACACAGGAAGTCCTACATAATGTGCCAATATTTTTTATCTTGTTTGTAAGCACATCAATATGTTTTTAATATGAATGTGTTTTTGTTTTAAACAAGCCAATAAGCGCGACTTTGTCTGGATGTTAATTTAAAATTAAAAACTTGCTATGACACTAGAACAGTTTTCATAAAGACATGGGGGTCTGAATGTCGTTCTAAAAGGTATAATATTATTTTTTATGATTTTGCCATTAGCATTTTCATTTTTATTTTTCAATTCACCATTGAATTTAATTTATGCTTACTTATATTAAATGAAGCCGCACTTTGAAACCTTAGCCTATGATATAAAAGGTATACATACAACAATTTATGTTTCTACATGCCATCATCTACTATTTCATAATAAACACATTTTGTGTAAAAAATAAGTTATGCTAGTTTATTAATGTACCTGTACTTTGTACAGTAAAATTTTATAATATTAACATACTGCACATTATATGAACATGAATGAGATTAATACATAATTATTACATTATGTATCATTTTCAAATCCATTTAGACCTAACCACTTCTGGTTGTCATGAGTTCATTGTCAAGGATAGTCCTCAATTAAAAAGGAGTATTTTTAATTTGTTTGAGAGCACTGGCTATTTAGTGGTGATTAATGAACGGATCATTTTCAGAAATATCGTATTCCTGTCGGCAAGTGTGCTTGGAGTGCTGGTGGTGCTGTCGGTGTATGATGAAGACGTTCTGACCGTTGAACACGTGCTCACCATCATTACCATACTAGGATGCGTGTTGGCCGGAGCCAGGTAACTAAGTTGTCAATTTTCATATGTATTTAGTAAAAGTTTTTATGTTGTGTGTTTTTGAATTCAAAAAAATTAGTCAATACATTTCTTATTTCTTTGCAAAAAACAAAACAGTGGGGTCGCGTGGCGGACTGTGCCCTAATACCCTCTGTTCAGAGAAGGCCTCTACACAGCAGTGGGACATTCAAATCTATATTTTTTAAATTGTTTGTTACCTCATAACTTTCGACTGAGTGAAACGATTTTGATGATTCTTTTTTTATTTGAAACCTGGTGATCCCCATGTTGTCCCGTGTTGTTGTAATTTCATTGGTATTGGATCTTGGGCCATGGAGATACTTAGGGAACTCTTGAAAATCAATTATAAAATGAATACAGAGGGAGATATTTGAAGTCGGTTTTGTTTTTCGTTAGTAATAAAAAGGTTACGTAAGAGCTGAATAGGAGTTGTTCCCCGCAGGGCCCTGATCGGCGAGGAGGAGCGGCTGGGCGGCGGCTGCACTGGGCCGGCGCGTGGCGAGGAGTTGTTCGTTCAGGTGTTGGGCCACGTGCACTACCTGCCGGCCGCATGGCGCGGGCGGGCCCACACCAAGGACGTCGCCGCCCACTTCCAACAGCTGTTCCAGTTCAGAGCGGTGAGCTGAAGCGCTTGGCTGGTACAGTTGCACTCGGTTCCGGCGATACGAGAAAGTTAATAATGCGATTTTTTATTTTCCCTCACCGTCGGGTAGCAGGTTGTAACTTCACTTTTTAACCGACTTCAAAAAATGAGGTTGTAAATTTATTTGACTGTATTTTTTTTTGTTTGTTACCTCCGACCTTTAGATTTGTTTTACTTCAGATTTTGATTAGTCTTTTTTTATTTGAAAGCTGGTGCTACCCGCGGTACTTTGGGAGAGAAGGGAAGAGTGCTCCGGAGATACTTTGGGAATTCTTGAAAATCAATTATAAAATGAACACATTGTTACATATTTGAAGTCGGTTTTGTTTTTTGTTAATAAAAATATGGACTTGTTTAATTCTATGATCATGCCGTGTTAGATTTATTTTTTTTTTATGGTGAAAAGGGGAAAACGAGCAGGAGGCTCACCTGATGGTAAGTGATTACCGCCGCCCATGAACACCTGCAACACCCGAGGGCTCACAAATGCGTTGCCGGCCTTTTAAGAAAGAGTACGCTCTCTTTTTGAAGGTTCCCAGGTCGTAACGGTTCGGAAAGACCGCCGGCGGCAGTTGGTTACACAGAGTGGTTGTGCGAGGCAAGAAATGCCTTAAAAATCGCGCTGTTGTGGAACGTTGGACATCGAGGTGGTGTGGATGAAATTTTTGGTTCTGGCGCGATGTCCGATGGTGGAATTCAGCCGCCGGGATCAATCCAAACAATCAGAACAAATTCCTCAGAAAAACAAATTCCTCAGAACACTCCCCGTGATAAATGCGGTAGAAGATGCAGAGTGATCCAACATCTCTACGCAGAGCCAGAGGATCAAGCCGATCGGAAAGACTTTGATCGTCGATAACCCTAACCGCCCTACGTTGAATGCGGTCAAATGGAAGAAGCTGGTAATAGGGGGCTCCCGCCCAGAGGTGAGAACAGTACTCCATGTGGGGCCGAATTTGCGCCTTATACAGGTTTAGGCGTTGGGCAGCCGTGAAGTACCGTCTCGCCTTGCCGAGCACGCCAAGCTTCTTTGAGGCCAATTTGGCCTTACCTTCCAATTGACCGCGGAACTGGACGTTGCTCGAGATTTCGACGCCAAGCATTCCGATACTAGCTGTGGCAGGTAGGGGAGTGTTCTCGAAATGAGGAGTCACGACAAATGGGGACTTTTTAGCGGTTAACGCGCAAACTTGTGTCTTTTTGGGGTTGAATTGGACTAGGTTTAGTCGACCCCAGTATGAGACTTTGGTTAACAAAGTCTCGACCTCAGACACAAGCTTGTTCCGACACTCGTAGACGTTTTCTCGAGAAATGTTAGCTCGGCCAGTGTACGAGACATCCACAGTGCTATCGTCTGCATAACAATGGACGCTACTGATTTGCAACATGTCATTGATATGCAGAAGAAACAGAGTAGGAGACAGTACGCAGCCTTGTGGAACACCAGCATTGACAAATTTAGGATCGGAGCATGCACTGTCGACGACGACCTTGATGCTCCGATCTGCCAAAAAGTTGGTGATCCAATTGCATAATTTCTCGGGAAGCCCATAGGAAGGCAGCTTCGAAAGAAGCGCTTTGTGCCATACCCGATCAAAAGCCTTCGCTATGTCCAGACTGGCTGCAAGCGCCTCCCCCTTGCTCTCAACTGCTTCTGCCCATCGATGTGTAAGGTAGACCAGAAGATCACCGGCTGAGCGACCCCGACGAAATCCATACTGGCGGTCGCTAATCAGCCGGTGCTCCTCTAGGTACCGCAGGAGCTGGCCGTTGATAACAGACTCCATTATCTTGGAGAACAAGGAGGTGATGGACTATTTCGGGACTGGCCTGTAATTGGACGGATCAGAGCGATTGCCTTTTTTTTAGGGATCGGGTCGCACTAACGCGGCCTTCCATGATTTCGGGACTACGCCTAAAGTATAGGAGTGCCGGAAGAGACGCGTTAAAACCGGCGCCAACTCTGGAGCACATGTCTGTAACACGATCGGAGGGATGCCATCAGGCCCACTCGACTTGTGGGATTTGCCACCGATGGGTATTGCAGAAAATGGAATAAACATTTCCATACCCTGAAGCACACCACATCGGTGACAGAGTCAGCAACGGCGTCTGGATCATCCAACGAGAAGCAAATCTGCCCCCATGGGTAGAACGCAAAGAATGACCGCATCCCGTCCCAATCTGCTGACCTATAGTGCCATACGCGGCGGCAGCCTGCGAAACGAGGTCGTGTAGAGCGCGCAACGGGCACTGTACTCCTGACAAGACAGTGGTCCGACGAACCAAGAGGAGGATCGACGGAAACCAGGTAGCCGTCCGGATGCGAGGTCAGCAGAAGGTCCAACAGGGAAGGTGTATGATCCTCCACATCTGGGATTCGCGTTGGCGAGGTGACCAGTTGTGTCAGATCATAAGCTATTGCGAAGTTGTGAACAGATCTCCCCGCATGATCGGTGGTGCGTGAACTGAGCCATTCGGCGTGATCGGCGTTAAAGTCGCCTAGAATCACGATCTCTGCGGATGGGATTTGGATGTGCTCAATGAGTTCGTCAGTTTCGGCATTACCGCTGTGGGACCTATATAGGCACGGGTAGATACGCGGATGGTCGTCGCAGTCTACGCGTAGCCAGAGGATGGATAGGTCCCGTCCTCCAAGACTGCCGAGACGACGAGAACAGATATCCTCTCTGACGTACATGCACACCCCCGCCCGCGGTACAAAGGAATGTTCCAATTTGTACCCGGGGTAGGAGAGGAAAGAGGTATCAGCCGGAGAAGATATCTGAGTCTCAGTAAGGAACAGCAAGGCCGGCTTTGCCGTCTCAAGGTGGTAGTGGACGGCAGGACGGCAGTGGGAGAAGTCCCCTGATGTTGCACAAATCTACGGAGAGCGTGGAAGGTGTTGCCAAAGTAAGCCTGCTACGTTTGCCTCGAGCAATGAGAGTTGAGAGCGGTATTTGGCCCCCCCCAGAATACGTGGGGCAGCCTGAGCGCCTGGTCGCAGCCGCCCAGGGGGGGATTCTCCAGAACCACTGGGACTGGTACCCCCCTGGGGTAGGTTTTTTTCCGATATCGCTAGCATGTTATAGAAGACGGGGGGGGGGGGGGGGGGGGGAAGTGGGCATCCGGCAACCTCACTCACCAGACGAAACGCAGAAGCATAAAGCCTCCACTTTACGCCGGTCTTCTGTGAGGCCGTGGTACCACCCCGGACGGGCCTGCCCATTCGTGCAACAGAGGGTTCTGTTGCGAGGCCCTACCACGTCCAAAAATAGATATGCACACGTTGAATGTTAATGCCACACAATGTCGGCATAGGGTTTTTTTATTATTGGGAAGGTTTAGGTAAAAGAAAAGTATTATTTTTTTAAAAAATTATGTGACAAACTGGCAAATGAGCTGGCGGTTCACCTGATGTTAAGTGATAACCGCCGCCCATGGACTTTTGCAACACGCGTAAGGTTGCAAATGCGTTGCCACCTTTAAATAAAGTGGGCCCCGGCTACCCCACTCACCACACGAAACGCAGAAGTGTAAAACTTCTACTTTATGCCGGTCTTCTGTGACGTTGTGGTACTTACCCGGACGGACCTGGCCATCCGTGTAACAGTGAAGACTATTGCGTAGTCCTACCACAGTTAGTTTACCAAGTAGGTAGTCAATTTCACTAATATTCGCCTCTCTTTTGGGTTTCTATTCATAGGCGACGATGCGCGACTTGACGAAAATTGAGTACTAATTTTCAAGGAGGTTGAGGGAGAAGAAAGATATAACGTAGAGAGATAAAGAGATAGCAAGGTATAAAGCTACTGAAACGTAAATCTGTAATAAAAGATTTACTTCTCATGCTCTTTATATGACCAGATGAGGTACCACATGTTATTGTGTAATGCATATTGATCACTGTATCTTGTGAATATTTATGTTTTCCAAGAAGTTTCACTTCTGTCGAGTGTGCAGGGCTGGAAGCGTGTGTTCTTTCAGGTGTACATACTCTTCGAGCTGCTCAGCCCACTGCTCTGCCCGCTGGTGTTGTTCTCTCTCCGGTCCCGTGCTCTCGACATTGTTGATTTCTATCGCAACTTCACCGTAAGCGTGCTGGGCATCGGAGACGTCTGCTCCTTCGCACAGGTAAAAAGACAACTCAATGTACTCCCCATGTAATAAAGGCCTTGTATTCTTTCCCTTTATTTTTGTCCATAATCAGCCACGGCTGTACTATCCTTATGTTTCGATCTTACGTCATTAATGTACAGTTGCTGCCATGAATCTCACGCAAGTCGTCACTCCTGGCCTGGACGTCTTTCGCTACGTTTATTTAAACGCGGTCTCTACTCAAGAACTCGTCTGCTCCATCGTCTGTCGTTTCTGTGAGCGATGGGACCAGCCCACGTACCTCGAGAGCTATGACGATTTCCTTCCCTTAACTTGTCCTTCATAGGAAACTCCGAGAATAATCCGTAGACGTTCCATAGAACGTTGAGCGAATTGCAGTGTGACTGATCTGTGAGTGTCCACGTTTTGGCACCGTTATTTTAAAACCGTATTTCGTCTTAATGGATTGTGGAATTGAGGACGTGAAGACTTGGCGTAATTTACCCAATGCTTGACACGCCTGCGCCAGTTACTGAAGTTCTCCCACTGCTCAGAGTGGTCTTGAAAGACTTGACTGATGCTCCTCCAGCATTTAAAAGCTCCAAAATTATTGCGTTTCCGACGCGATCTTCTGCTATAACTCAAACATCCCCTTTTGGCTTTGAAATGCTTGCTTTCTGATCAAGGATTTTTGTTCAGCTCGACATACGGCGGCACGGCCACCCTGATTGGCAGGCGGTTGCTAAATACGGCGATAAACCAACCGGTGAGTGTTTCTTTTCATTGTCATCCCGTTGAATATACGGGATTAAGGCAATTGCTATTTTTATTCATCAATACTAGCTGCGGCTACAGCTGTGATAGCTCGTTGTCCGAGCGCCCACTTTAACTCAATAATACCTAGCACCAATGAAATTGTTAATATTAAGTGTTGACTCATCATGTGCTCAGCGGGGAAGGAAAACATCGTTAACAAACCTCCGTATTTTGGAAATAATAAGAAAAAGAAACGGTTACGAAGATGTGAGAGGTCCGCAGTCGCGTGGTGGACTATGCCCTAATACCTTTTATGCAGAGGAGGCTTTTGCCCAACTGTGAGATATTTATAGGCTGCTACTTCACTAACTATGCTGTGGCACGAAAAGGCAAGCTCGTTAAGATAGGTACGATGGATTGTGGCCTTGTCATAGAAGACTGGCGGCAAGTGACAGTGAAAAGCGTTTCGTCTGGTGTGTGAAGCAACCAGGGTCCACTGTTTTAATAATGGTAGGCGACGCATCCGCAACTCCTCGTGTAATGTACATATACATTGCCGACGGTAATTACTTATCACCGGGCCAACTTTCGACGTTAAGATAAAAGTTTCTTAAGTAATCGGTAGAACGGTTAAATTCATTTTCGTTAATTAATCTTTCGTTATACACATAAAATAAAAAGTAAAAAAAGCTAACGAAACGTCACAACCCCCGAGGTTAATTCCCCTTATTATGGTGTTCTTTGACTTTTCACAGGTGGCAACACTCAGTACAATCAGGGGGAGGGTGGCAAGACCGAGCTGTCGCTGGTCGCGTTCTCTTGCCGCCACCCCACCTGGCAACCCACGGAGCCCGCTCAAAGGCAGTTTTTGCGGTCATTGCGCCAGAGCATGCACCATGCGTTGCCGGCCACAAACACACTAGTAAGTCGAGTCTCGAACGTTTCTATATCAGGAATCACATTAAACGTCATTTCTAAAGGGATTATTTCGGATATTAATGTTTTTAATGTTATAGATTAGGAATAAGTTTCGGGTTTCTTTTAGTTTGATAGACTGTATATAATAATATAAACATTTATTGCGGGAGAATAAAAAACTTTTAGCACTTTCACATTTTTGTCAAAACTAAACGGTTAGATTCAATAATTGCTATTTATTTATTTGTATAAAATCTTTCGCCTAGTTAGGGTTTATTGTTATTATATTGGTCGAAGTTAGGACCTTACTAGTGGACGAACTTAATGCAAGTGATCGTAAATTTATCGTCACTCCAAAGACCACTTTGGTTGTCATTGTATATAACAGAATTTATTTGTGTTTGTTTAACTAGAAAGAATCAAACATGGCATCAAGCTCATGCCTAGACGTTTGAACGTCTATTTTTGACGGGATTTTTCCTTTTGAAAGAAATGAGAGTGAATTAACTTTTGTGGATAATACACATATAATGTAATTCATTCCGTGAGATCTATTCCGTAATAACGGATTCGCCACGGTCTCAGACGGCGTGAAGTGGAACTATTCCAATTTCGCATTTCATCTGTCGATTGAGGTAATCGGGGCCCACTTCTATAAGGGTTGTAGGTGACACAGAAACTGTAATCACCAATTAACATCGGGCGAACTGATGCTTGATTTAAAACTTTCACATAGAAAAGTATTTTTTTAACTCTACTAATATATTACATGTAACAAACGTCTCTCTGTTTCAGAACAAAACTATGCTCGGCTCCTATATCCAGCAGAGTATTTTCGGCACCAACACGCCTCTGCCCGCAGTGCTCTCCTATTACCAGCAACAGAAACCACCCTACCGTTTGCCCGTGAGTTAACCCATTTCCCTTTTAAGAATCATCATAATAATCATAATCATTTATTCCTCACCATAATCAACAAAAGTGGCTATAAACTTAAGATAAATAATAAAATACAATACAAAAATACATGAAAACAGAAACACAAGAATAGATTGAAACTTGAACTAGGACAAATCCTGTGTCTCAAGTAGGCTTGGAGACACAGGATTTGTCTGAAGCAGAATCTTTCCCTGTAGCAGAATCTTTTAAAAAGTGTACTATATTTACAAGTGTACATAGTGCGCGTGCGTGCGTGGGTGTGTGCGTGTGCGTATGCGTGTGTGTCTATAATTACTTAATTTTTAGGATATTTTCCATATCAGATTGTTCGAGTTTCTTCAAATTATTTTTGAGCTCTCTCTTAAGGCACCTTCTATTTACCTCGACCATTAGGTATAAATCGTTGAAGTATCTGTATAAGAATGGATAGAATGTAATCAGATTGTCGTCTAGCAAACATCGTGTTGAACAGCAGTCGTAACCCTTCTTTTATTTTGGGGTAACTGTTTTAAGTATCTGTGATGGCGAAGAACAGAGTTAAATTTATAATATATAATTGGCGAACAGAGAATAGTTCTGTTTCCTCGTAGAGCTTTTTAGTGGAGTATTTTCTGGGCCTGTGGTACATTACTTTAATAACTGCTCCTTGAGCTCTTTCTAATTCCAAAAGATGGGAGGAAGCAGCTCCACCCCATACTGTGATACAATAATTAATTAGCGATTGGGAAAGGGCATAGTATATGTTTTTTATCAATTGTAAATGAAAGTATGTCATGATCTCTTATCCGGTAGACAATGAGATGACTATACAATGTTAGAACTGTTTGAAATATTTTCTTCGCGAAAAATTACCTTTTTCTCTTGTCTTTTCAAGAATTTCTTCTATTGGCTTTATTGTGTCCTGTCGCGTTCACCGGCATTAAGTCCATATCGAAATGAGACGTTTTGTACCTCTAGCAACGAATCGCTTTCGAACGGAATTAGGGCAAATCAAATCTTTAAAATTTATTCATCGAAATAAAAAACATAATATATTACATCTATCGATAGTAATTTTTTAAATCTACCACCGTTTCGTAATGAGCTCCCTCTAACGGAGAAGAGACTGGCGAAAGAAACTCTGCGGGAAATTGAACGAAAAAATATTGTTTGAAAGAGCCTGGAGGGACAACTCATTTCCGAGTCTCTTATCATTTAAATTATCACCAATACCATAATAGTCTTTAATACACAAATGTTCCTTTACAATTTTTGATAGTGATTTTGATGAATGATTTTGTTCTAAAAACGTATACATTATCCCATAAAAGAGTTACTAGAGTTAATCCACGGAGTCTTGGTGTGGGTAGAATTAATTTATGTTTGTTCACAGTGTTTAAATCGCAACGTACACAAAACTTTCGAGTGTACAGAGGAGCAACGGTCGTTCATTCGTTCGTCCATTCATTCGTTCCTTGGTTCGTTCTTTACGCAGGACATGGACGAGACGAGCGATGAGGATGAGTGCCCCTCGGGGGCCGCTTCCCGCTCTGGCGGCGCGGGCCTGTCGGGGCTCTTCGGGCCGCGGGACTTCGCCCCCGCGCCGGGAGCGCCCGCCACGCCGGACGAAGCGCGCGACATGTCCGTCAGCGCGCTACACCTGTATGACCTGCACCTGTCGCAGGTGCGTGAGAGACTTTTTTTTTATAATAGGTTTCAGTACCCCAAAGGGTAAAACGAGACCCTATTACTGACTTAATTGACCCTACTACTACTCCGCTGCCTGTTTGTCTGTCCGTCTGTCATCAGGCTGCGTCTCATGAACCGTGATAGTTAGTTGAAATTTTCAAAGGATGATTTATTATTATTATTATTATCATTATAATTTATTTCAAGTTACTAAGGCTCATATACATCTACATTCAAAATTACATTTTATCATATTAAAAAAACAAAACGAAAAAGAAAAAAAAAATCGTGAATATTACAATTTAACCATTACAAGCATAAAATACAACATACGAAAATATTCATCCAAACGAGGTCAACACTTACCTCAGTCTCTGTATGCAACGTGAAGTCTGTGAAGATTAATATATATATACAATCGAGCCGATCCGCCAGCGCTACCAGCATGCCGTTAGTGGCCCCCCGCAGTACTATTATGGTAAAAAAGCAACATGCTTCAGCAAACATCGCTGATGCAGAATAAAAAATATTTTAACGGGGGAGCCCTGTTAAAATATTTTTTATATATACAACAGACATGATTTTATGTCGTTTTTGTAGACCATGGTACGGAACCCTTCGTGTGCGAGTCTGACTCGAACTTGACTGTTTTTTTAAAGCTTGACTGCTTTAGGATAAAAATCATCCTTTGTTGTAAGGACGTTTTACATACGCATATTTCACGTGGAAAACACCCAGATGCGAAACAACTAACTGTGGGTCACACGAATAGTTGTTCCGTGTGTTGATCGAACCCATGACCCCCGACGCCGAAGCAACTGCGCAGTCATCAAATCATTCAAATCTATCCTTCTTTTGGTTGGAAAAAGTTGTGAGAGTGAAATTTTTATAAGCTTCATAACTTTACGGTACTACCATAGCGGCCAATAACAACTTTTTGAAATTCACCCATAGTTCCAAGTTATTGAATTGAACCGTTATCAATTGCGTTTAATGTATTTTCACAAAGGAAAAGTTTGAAAACGGACACAGGAAACAAATTTTTTTGTTTTCTTTCTTCTGTTACGACAAAGAAAACTTCTTACGTGCTTACATAACACGCCTACACACACTTTTATTTTTTTTATTTTTAATATGGCTTGAATCACACCGAGTTGCAAGAAAAGAAGCCCCAAGTGGTCTGACCCGATACGTAACCACTTACTCTCTTAATCGTTGGCAACACGCCTCTGGCAGCGTCTCTGTTGTTGTATTTGGCCACGCGAGAAACTAACCTTATGGTTACATATCATGATGATCCACTTGCTCAGTAGCCATCACTTAGGAATAAATAATAATACTCATGCACGCGGAATAATATTAATGCAACTCACATTCACCCTTGTGGGCTACCAGTATTTTGATGTGAGAAGTTGGCACCCAAGCTGGCGGTTCACCTGTCAAATGATAATCTGCAACTTCGGGCGCCACAACCATTTAATAAAGTTACGGGCAAGCGCCCTGATGTAACGCGAAAGTACGACACCTTCACTTCACGCCGCTCTTCTGCGTGGCTGTTGTAGGCTTGATCGCACCAGGCTGCCCGCCCGTGCAACGGTCCTACCACAGCTAAACTTCGTTGCAGGCCGGCCAAAGCGTGTCCGCTTGCTGCACGAACAACTGCAGCGAGCGCAACAGAAGCAGCCGCTGGGCCAGTGGGGAGGAGACCCCGTTGCTGCACCGCCCCTAACAATGGTACCCCACAGCCTCCCGATCCGGCGAACACCCTGCATGGATCTAAGATAGCAGAAAGAGAAGATGATGTGGAACTGTGTATCGTTGTACCGTAAGGCAGAACCGGCGAAAGTGATCCAACAATGGCCTGTGATATTTTTTTTAAACCGCTTAGGGCGAGCTAAACTCGGACGCGCGTCAGTAGCGCCGCGGGGGACTTTAGCTGTCTCGTTCGCGCCGCACCCTTAACCGTCTTCCGCATCGCTCGCGCGCGCGTTGATTGCAGACGCGGGCGACAGTTGTTACATTGTGTTATTCATTCTTTTTGAACATCTGTCTAAGGCACTCTTATGTTTTTGCGCTCGACTGTACACACGCGCATAATTCGCGCAGCCCAAGGCGTTCAAGTTTAGCGCGTCCTACACCGTCATTTCGCCGAGTTCATTATAAGTGATTGCTTTTTGTATGAGGCTTGTCGAGCTTCGGTGTGAACGGTTATCCGTTAAATGGTCGGTCAATGCACCAGATTGCTCTCCGAAAAGGGAAGGCAGGGCCACGAGATTAGCCATATGTAATTAAACGGGGCAAACGCCACCGACAAATCGGCGGCTCAAATGTTTTCATTAGTCATCTCCAGTATGTAAATAGCAATTCAACGAGCGTAGCCAATAGTGAAGGAGTTAGCTTAAGGACGAAACTATTCCTACAAAAAAATAACAAAAGCAGAAAAAAGTAACATGTAACTTTAGCACTTGATAAATTTCTAAGTTAAGATTGCAACTAAACTTATTTTTATACGGTCTTAGAATATATTCCCCCTTAGCTACGCTCTTAATCACATGTACCTAACCTATTACTAAAAAAACTATTACACTGATACAAAATTCTAACGCACACCTAGCTTTTATCGGGTCGTGTAAATCTTATAACATTTCGTGATAATAAAATCGTGTGAATCATAAAACAATTTGTAATCGAAAAGTGAGAAAAAAAAAAACAAAATTTCATATCATAAGTTCGGTATATTAAGGTAAGATTTTATAGATTAAAATTGTATGTATAGATATTTTTCAAGTGTTCACGATCAGTAAAAACTATGTCTTCGTTATTACGCTATTATTATTATATTGCGTCAGCAAACGGAATTGAAAAAGAATTATTTGAAAAGTAAAACTTTGGTAACGATAACGGTACAACTTTTCTCAACGAATAATATTTTTTAACTATAAAAATTTTTGAGAGATTTTTTTGTATAAATATTTTACCATCGGCATCGCGGATTGCTCGCGATCGCATACGATTTGCATGTTTAAATCTTAGAATGTCGTGCGGTTTTAACGTCACTGAAGCGGGCAGCTAAGTCGTGTTACTGAATCGATACGGTACATAGTTTATAGTGCGGAATTAGAATCGTATAGTCGAACTACGTCTCCGTGTTAAGTTAAAAAAAAATATTGTAGTACTAGTCCACGTCCGATGTGGCAACACAAGTAGATTTGCATTTGGTTTATATAGTTGTAAAATCAAGGCGTCGGTGTCACTTTCGTTGGCGGTGACATCGCGGAATGATAAACATTAATTTGGCCTTTCATGAATATGGATGTCCTCAGCGCGTTGTTGGAGCCTCTTTGTGGATTATTCAGTGCTGTAGAACTTGGACGGAATTATAAATTTTTAATTTGGTCCTATCGTTGATTGAAATAAATACATACGATTATGCTGGGGTTATATTGCGCAACGCGCAGTTGGCCCGAGTTGATATTTTAGAGAATGAAGCAACCGTTGCTCTAATTCCGATCTTCGCCGATACAAAAAGTGTATTAATTTTAATTTATTGACATTTAATCTATTCCAAATCGTCAATTTTTGTTATTGACATTGTAATTTTAACGATTGCGATATGTCTTATTTTTTGTATCTTTTTAAAATATGTAAGCTGGATATTAACTGCTATAATGATCTGAGTACCCATTATTAGTAGAAGTAGAATCTGTTCGGAATAACTCGTTGCCTCCATTAGATTGGTATAATTATGAGGTATGTCTAATTCTGCGTGATAGCAAACAAAACTTAGATAATAGTGCTTTCCGATAAAGCCGTAGCTTTGGGCAAAGATTAGGTAGCGGAAGTAACATTTTTTAAATATTGTTATGTAGCAGCAGTACTTTTAAAATAATGTAAAATTTTAAAATTGTGAACTCAATTACTTTATTAGCTTTGAGGTAACTATTTCAAAGCATATTTAAGCGTATCCGAACGTTGCAAATTTTTTTCAATCATCTCCTGTCGTTATCGCACCTAAGTGGGGTCGGCACAGTACGTGATAATTTTGTTAGATGTACTTCTCCTTGAGGGCAAACACTCAGATGCGGAACAATTATCTGCTGTTTATACAGATACTTTTCCGGTGTCCGAATCGAACCTACAACCCTAGACCCCGAAGCCAATGGCTAGCAACTAAACCACTAAGTCATAACGCTGTTACACCGAATGATAGCTGCTATTTGCCATCGAACCTGAACATACATTGCCTGTCTAACTATCTACCTTTGTGATAATTATTGTGTGAAAACATTTACTAAATACAAACTACTAACTATTAATAATATAGTCTTACAATAGGTGTCGTATTTCTGTATTAGAGTGATAATAGATTTTTTTGGAATTTAATATATAATAGCTTTGTGGAATTTTTTAAAAATGTAAGAGTTTTGGCGTCATCGTTTCGTTTGATATAGTTTTGGACTTTGCATAAATCTTTTAAATTAGCCCTAGTTTTAAGAAAGTTCGTATATACATACATAAACAATATAAGAACCTTTCTAACATCTTCGTACAGTAAGCCGTACGTTTGTCGTTTTCTTTCAGACGTATATAACACAGCAAGAATTGCGGTTGTCTTCCATATATCCAAGTTTCGCGGCCAAATTGAGATTTGCAATTGCAACGTGTTGTTGTCATAAAACCAGATGACGAAATAAAAAAAAACACACAAACTATACAGCTATGACTCAAAAGGAAGCTATTTTAAAGAGCGAAGCTCGTATGTGTATGCAATCAGGCGAAATATCATTACAATATACAAGCTTTGTGTTCTTCGCTAAGGGCCCGTAATAATAACGGTATATGTACATTTGTATAATTGTGCCATTGTACTAAAAGTTAAATATATGCCTATGTATAAAAATGTAAAAGAAAAGTAATGTAAAAATTATTCCATTTATAGAAATTCTGCGTGACTTTTTAACTTTTTACAATTATTGCTTGGATAATATGTGAATATTAAAAAGATGTATGGCCATTTTTCCATGTAAACTATACATCTGAAACTTTTTGAACGTAAAGAGTCTGTTCGACAAAAACATTCTCACACAGACGATGAAATGTTAGGATTGCGGTCCTTCGGTATATGCATTATTGTTGTAAAGAGCGAAGAAACCGATGGCTGCATACAAATTTCCGTGCAAGCGTAGGATATCGAAACATATCGTTTTGCCGTAATACGATGCTATTTTTATATAACGAAGATGTTCGGCGTCTCTGAAAGCGATCAAACGAAGTTCAAAGCGATAAAGGCCGATATTTAAACAGAAATGGGTGTTGAATATTTTTTGATATCTATGTATTTTATTCGGAACAATATGCGACTTATAATAAAAGCCAATGACGAGACGGTTTAGCTAGACTTATGTACGCGTGTACCTCAATAGTCACAAAGTAAACATAAACAGTACGCGTTTCAGATAGTATAGTTTTTGAGATTTAAAGCATGTCGGCTTTCAATCTATTTCACGTGATACTTGGGAACTAGTTTAAAATTTTCGACACCTTTCGAATTTACAATCTTAATATTAGATGGGTAAGTTATTTATTTTTAGGGTCAACAGTTTAATATTCATTCAATTTCGAACTTCGATTAAAAATCAATTAGTAACTCTATGCTTACTTTATTAATCTTGCTATACGTATGTTATTATATTTAGGATTACTTAAGTCTACGGTAACTTTGCTTACTGTATTACGAAAAAAAAAGTTGTGACAAGAGTTTAATGTAATAGTTTTTTATGATATTCTTCTTCCAAATATATATGTATAAAGTATTCCATAATAAAATTTTTGTATTACAAAAGTTTAAAATTCAAATGAATCTTTCAGCTACTTAAATAAACACCTAGCATATAATATTTTCATATATTTCAACGAATTGAAAATATATGAATTTGCATTACGTTGCAAATGTGATTCACGCAATATCAATAGATTTTGAGGAAAATGTATGACTTACAACTGCGGAATAAATGAGTATCTTCTATTTTAGCAGCCAACGATCAATTTATGAACAATCTTAACTCATCAAAATTCTTTGTTGACGCCGATTTAAATTGACAGGGCTTGGAAAACGAAACATTCCGTTTCGGAAATGAGAAAGGCGGACGATGTACCATACTCAAGAGTAAATTTTAGAATTTGATATTCTCGGTGAATTTTCTTTTTTAACATGAATCGATCAAGTGCGCGACTGCCAATTCACGCACGATTCCGTTGGCGCACCGAGGAGTTATCGCAAAATAATTAATACCCAATCAATAAAAATGTGAAGTCTAGGTCGGGGGTCAACTGTAAAACGAAATGTGCAAATATTGCATAGCGAATATTAGGCATGGGTAAATGAAACTATTTACGTAAAATATTTTCATTTAAACGTGCAAACGCATCTATAAGTAATAACTCAGCTTACCGGCATGTCAAGTTACTGGAGATCTCAATGCTTCTTTCAAATTCAGTAAACCAGTACTTTATTGTATCCAAAGAGAGTAAACGAATTTGTAGTGTTTTTTAACAATTTTCTCAATCCGCTTTTCGCCGTATACTCGAATACGAAAAAGAAAGTCTTCTGGCTGTGTTTTTATTCTATGGCTTTAGGTATATTCCATTTAAATCAACACTAAAAAAAAATCAACCTTACAGTCGATTTGCTGCAAAGGAATTATATACAAAATAAAAAATGCTATTTGTAGAACATTATAGTTGTGTGTGTTCTTGCTGGCATGGTTGAGACTAACTATCGCCTCATATAGGGCAACAATAGGCACTATTCATAATGTCTTATTCGTTTTTAAGTAAAACTAAATTTAAAATCGCTAAGCACCTGCAATATTTGCTTTTCTAATTTTTTGTTCTTTGCATAGACAGTTTATCATATCGCTTATTAGACGTGTTATCATGTTTCACAAAATAAATATGGGTACCTACCATGCACCGCGTAGAAATTCTTTGTGTAACAGAATGGTGGAGACATAAATATAAACACGATTATTTGAAACTTAAACATACTATACTAATGCAGTCAAAGCGTAAGGTTTTGTGCGAAACTCCTGTTTATGATGCACGTCCAAAAAGTGTCAATGACTTCCTCTGGCCCATCGAAACAGTTTTAAAACCTAACCCCATAGGAAATACAAAGGTTTTCTTAAATGATACAAATACAATAATTAAGAAATTATATAAAATTGTCTTAATAGTAATAATCACAATGCACCAATGCAATTACATTTGTCATTTACGGATCTATTTTTTTTATATTTTTGTATGTTGCCCTTAATATTACGTCTTTAAATATTAGATCGAAATAGCGATATTAAAATTAACATAAATCAATGGGCCGCGTGCAATTTCTTAGAATGTTCCAGAGTAAAACGTGTACCTTTCCTGTTTACAGAATACGTATGTGTGAAAATAAAATTTGTAATATGAATTCAGCTCAAAAAGTACCATCGCCTTTGTAAGGTTCATCCAATAACAGGAAAAATATTAAAGCCGGTTTCAAAACGCATCATCACGACCTAAAATCAATACATGGGTTTTGTAAAATATATTTGAGTTTGTGATGTCTAACATCAAGCATAAATTGGTTGTTAAAAGAAACCACCTGAAAATTGTCTCCAAATTTGTAACCATACTACATTTGCGCATTCGTTTATTCTAGATTTACGTACATTGTATTTTTTATGGCGGATCTTCGTTTATAACAAAAGATGTTTCTATTAAAATAGTGTTCAGTCCATGATGGCATTGAATGATGTTCAATTAATGTGATGTGATGTGACTTTACATAAATGTGGCGTATTAAAAATTTATATAACATTACAACGTGCCTCTAAAATAATACCTCTAATCATTGAAGGACAGATGCGTACATTTTACATACTTTTAGATTAGTGTATTTTGCAGAATTTTTAAATATAAGGCATACTTGCTATATTTGCCATATTTTTTAATGTGAGTTTATTGTAATTGTCGCAAACATCAGTAACAAGAGCGCAATAACAAATCGAAATCTTAGTACAAAGCGTAGCATAGCGTTTTTACTTCCTTATATACTGTTCTCATTTATTGTGGCTTGTCAAAAAAATAAGAGAAAAAAAAGAAAGATGAAGGTTGTGTATGTACGTCAAACAATATTAGACAATTGCGACGTATGTTGGCAGGCTTCCAGTTTAATGTGTATTTCTAGAAAAAAATAAAGTTTCATAATCTGTACAATGTTTATTCGTGAATTTTTCTAGTAATGCCCTGACAATGTAATTTCAATTTTAAATATCAGATCATGAAAAATTTTTCTTCAGTATGAGCTGACTGCACTGTTTAAGGAAATGAAAATATCTAAGAAATTTCAAACACCTGCGTCCACAATGTACGTTCAAAACTTAGACGTGCTTCAATCTTCTAAGTTAATGTATAGATCTCTCATATTTTATATAAATCCTTTTAGGTGTACTCGTAGTACTGTAGACATTAAAAGTAGGTGATAACCGCAAAGAAGCTTCGGTTGACCTTATCCGACTTAAGTTTAGATCATTGACAACGTATGTTGTTCATTATTTAAATTTATTCAATAATGATATCTCTATGTAAGTCAATACGACGTCACTTTTTGTCCTTTATTAGTCCTCAGCTTTCTATTTTAGAGCATTTCATCCGTATATTTGTTATTAATTTTTGATTAAATGTGTACTCTCATTTATGTTCACCTGTGAAAAGAAAACCATGTTTTGTGATGTTTATTCGCGGCTAAAATAGGTTCTGGCTCGCTGGCCGCTTCCTTATTAACCAAATTTGTAAATATTTAGCTCAATTTATCAATAAGTATTTTTTAAGTGTATTGTGATATGAGTATGTTTTCGTTTCCATGTGTTGTAATAAGTTTAGCTATTTACTTTCCAAATAGAATTCAAGTAAAGTACACATAATACAAAATTCTATCTTTATTTTGATACAAGGGAATAACTATTTTTGAGGTTTTCATTACTGATAATACGCTACAATCATTGTAAACGCATTGTGAATAAATAAATAAAAAGTATCCGATGTTTTATTTCGCTCTACCCTTCCAACGTCAAAACATGTTGACTCCATTATCAATAACTTTTAGAGCTACTAAAAGTTATTAAAAGCATTGCGTTATATATAAAAAAAAGAAAGAAAAAAAATAAACCCGCCATAATGAATTACATGCGTAATTTAATAGATTTCCATAAGTGTCAGTGATTCAGCGCAATCATTGCTTTTTACGCTTATAGCATTTAGGGTATGTGACAAATACAAAAGTTGGAAAATTCCGGGAGCAATCATACGCACAAGACAAGAAGTGACGACATTGCACGGGTGCGACATATGTTCGTTTTTTTTTTCGATCATTAAAATTCGAAACTACTACGAAGAAGAGCAAGAACTGGTTGGTCGCGAGTGAGTCGTACGTCCTTGACTTTTTGATGCATTGCTAGAGTGGGCAGTACACAGACACACATAATTACTTATTTATTATGTTATTTGAGTTGCCCGTAGTCTACCACTTCCTGGTTAAGCGGTGCAGGCGCTAGGGCGAAGAGGACTCTATGGGTACAACTTACGTCGTAATCTCAAAATAGTGTAAACCGAGAGACATTCCCAACCCGTTTAGATTTTATGATTTTTAAAATAAATGCAAGGAACTTATTAGCTATTTCATTAAGTAAATTATTCTAACATGTAAACAATTAATATTTATGGAATAGTTTTGGAGTAATGGATATTGGTCGTTTTTGTTTGACGCGAATTAAAATTCTTTTATCTAAAATTATATTATTTTGTTTTTGATGCACGCATAGAAGTTAGCCTTAAATATTACATAATCAATAGTTATTTCAACATCGTTTTCTTTTCTTTGTGAGGTTATTAAATATTCAACGAAAAAAATATTTTTGTAAATTACTACCGACAAGACCAATGCTGGGATACAGGTAAACTACAGTATATTTATACTTGTTTCGTTGAATAAGACTTAAGTATACTTTTTTATCACAAAGTTCTGCTTAAAACTTTTGACATGGGCGACGCGTGGTGTCACGCGTTTATGTCTTTCGTACTAATACATCGCCTAAACTTCCTACCTACTCGATATGCGTCCGTTTCTCCTCCAAACTTTTAGCACTATTATACTCCGCCAACGCACTTTTCGCAACGTTCAGCAGGATCTTGAGTGTTTATATAACCCCCGAGGGTTGTGCGTGATGGTGGAACGATGGCGTGGCGGACGGCCTCTCCAGCATCGTCGTCCAAGCATCTCGCTTGCATGTGGAATGTGAAAAAACGTTTGGTTTTGGCGGGCGGCGCGGTGCAGCGTAAGGTTCCGAGGTGCATTGAGCTCTGAGGGTGGACTGGTACGACGGGCGGTGCGCGGGTGTCTCAGCGGCTATAAGTAAGAGGTGCACACGCGGCGGCGAGGTTAGTCGCCGTTCGGCAGCGCGTCGCCAGCGGTGTTATACTCCCACGCCGCCCCCCACCGGTGCGTTCTACCACCCCCTGACGTCCCTACACGCACTCGCCTTTCTCACACGATCACTGGCGATCCTCGCTTGCGCAACCTAGTTCAAAACCAAAAGGTCGCCACTATTGGCATTTAAGCGCACTTTGACATTAACGTTGCATTTAAATGTGTGATGTAGCTTCCTCGTCGAGCACCACTGTCGCAACTCCGCGTCGTATCATATGAGAAAGGCGCGTGAGCTGACGTGAGGTTTCTGTTGCAGTCAGCAGCCCGAGTGAGCCGGGCAGTGCGCGAAGCACCGCACACCAGTACGCACTCTACCCGCCGCCGCCATGCTCGCCAGGACAGCCCTGTAAGTACCGCTATGATATCGCAATATCAAAACTCATAAAGGCTGTATATCACCGCGGCCCTCAGGGCTATTCTAAGCTTTGGACAGTCGACTAATTGTTTAAAGTACACTTGACCACTTTCTAAAACAACATCTGCAATGGGCTGCTCAAAACCAGTCGTCTCATTGTCACTTTCATCGGCCGTTTGCATAGGTGAATCTTGAGAGCCAGCCGAGCTTTATGTAATGGTGGTTATCGGCTTGCGGGCCTTCTTGTGTCACAGTCGATGCTGCGAAAATGTGATCTGATTTCTCATGTGGAAATCAGGTGTTTGTTGCCCAACAGCAACAGGCTGACATCACGAATGAGGGCGCTCGTTTCTCAATGCTGGCTGCGAAACAGCTTTTAAATAATATGCAAAGTAAATAATGCAAGAATAAGTGTGTATTGTATCCCACAGTGACTACCCGAGCCAGAGACATGACGCCCTTAAAATATTACATTCGCAAAAACTCATCACGTTTGACTGTTCTTGCAAAAAAAGAAAACAGTTGAATCTTTCTAAACCTTATTACATACGTTGTAAGTGTGAAATTCTAGGAAATAGCAAAATATGTTATTGGTTTTTAAGGTTCCGTCCCCAAAGAGTAAAACTGCACCCTATTACTAAGACTCCGCTGTCTGTCCGTCTGTTTGTCTGTCTGTCTTTCTGACAGTCTGTATGCCTGTATCTCATGAACCGTGATAGTTAGTTAAAATTTCCAAAAGTGATGTATTTCTGTTGCCGCTATAACAACAAATACTAAAAAACAGATTAAAAAATATTCAAGTGGAGCCTTCATACAACAGACATGATTATTTGCCGTTTTTATAGATAATGATACGGAACCCTTCGTGCGCTAGTCCGATTCGCATTTGGCCGGTTTTATTTTATATGCAAATAATTCAGCGCAAAATGTTTTAAGAACATGGAAGGTATAACGCAACACGCATAGCCTTTGCGTTTTGACTGTAGTTTAAATAAATAAGTGTTTATTACTGACAAGTTAAACATTACACAGTTTTCATACACCTTGTGCATAATACTTTATACATGTTTTCACAGGCGATGCAAAGTTGTTTTCAGATAACACTTTCAAAGCTCAATTTGGTCATGGATGATGTTACCGGTTCTAGCCAATAAGTTTAGAAGCCAAGACATTATAGTTGCGACATTTACAAGTATTTTACGATATTCGCGCCCGGTTTCTGAATCAATGATCATCGCAGATGTTAATTAATCAGCTGTCAAATGGCTTTTCAAATGTCATTTGAGTTGCCAAAAGGATGGTTAAACTCTTTGAACTGTTCATTCTGGTTAGTGTTTCAGAAACCGGGCGTCGGTGTCACATATTGAAGCTTGCGCGTGAAACTTGCCAATGTTTTTTACAATGCCACAATTAATACACCGTTACGAAATTGACAACCGCGGCCCGATGAGTCAACCGGATTTGCGGATTTAATAATTACCTCGCAACCGAAGTGGGACCTCAATAGTAGGTAGGCATTCCGATTACGAACGCAAATAAAAGGTCACAGTGCGCAATGTTAGGAAAAGACTGCGCGAAGGCTGCGTTTGACACACAAACATTCGATAACAATGATACAACAGGCGCTATTGTCAAACTCTCTCTGGTTTGCGACACGAGGCGCTAAGTGGATGTCCGTACACACAATGGAGGCTTCGCATTTGTTTCCATGCTTCAAAGCTGCAGTCCTAAGACAGTGCTGCTCCGGTGATTAGACACGATGACACAACCGTCACCTTTCATTGATTTCGGAAAGCTCATGTAACGCGTTTGCGCATCTTACTTCATCTTAGTCGCTGTCGAGAGTACACTCGACGGCGATGCATTCGTCTCACTGACACTTTATATGCTATTATTTTGTATTTTCACATCAGTTTTACACTCAGTCGCCCATCACCCACATCTAAGCAAATATATGTGAAGCATTCGAATTAATGTTTTCGCGATGAAACCGAATTAAAAATAATTCATGAAGTTATTATACATTATTAGAAGTATTAGAAGTGTTTATTTATAATTATAATAATTATATTTTTATTAATATTATTAAAAATAATGTATAATATATAATACAAAAAATAAAAATTTAACAAACAATACTAATAAACGCTGTATTTTGTATTATAATATGAACTTAGTTTTTTTATTTAATTTACATATTGCTCTAAACTACATGTAATATTAAAATTAAATTTATAATATCCTTGTTATTCATACGTTTCGTTGTTAAATACTCATGACGTTTTCTAATATAAATACGCATATTGATTTAACATTATCCAGTATTATAATGGTTTGCACCATTCGCAAAGTTTTTGAGTATAGCTTTACGTAATAATTCTTATAGTCACGCGTAAATAAAGACCCCTTAAAGTGGGTTAAGTAGCTAAAATGTTAAGTACAAATATTGTGCTCAGCTTCACACGATAAAAAGCGCGATTATTCAACCGCACAATTCCTAATTAGGCCGTATAAGCATTCCGTCTATATGATTACATTTATTTCACTTTCGCCGTAGAAAGGGAAGTGCGCATGCCGTGTGCGTTTTGTCATCGGCGACGCGCAATATGTCTCGCCGGCTGTTTTTCGAATACAAATCGTAATCGGAATTTCTCCGTGCTGCAGATTCGGCTATGTAACGCCGATAGACGCGAAAGGAAAGTGACCGCCGACAGTTATTTGCACCACGTCCAATCGTTTGCAGAACACATTTTGTTTCTAATGATCCGAATTCGTAAACGAGTGTGAAACCATTTAACAATAGCACGCCTCGTTGTGTTCACGATCTGTAACTTTTAACGTTTGCATCACCGTTTTAAAATGTTTTCTCAGTGTTTATTTTCAAGTTAATGGAAATGGCTTGATGTATTACCAATAAATGTGTTCTCTTCTAGATACTGAATATTTTTAACGCCATTGTATTGTTGAAAATAGTATAGAATAAACAGCATTAACTTTTTTAACTTAATGAGAAATTACAAATATGTCAATCTATAATGTTTCAAAGAAATTGTACTGGATAAAATAGCTATTACCGTTAGAAGTTTAAATTTTCCTCTACGCGAATTGGGGCAAACTTTATCCAGTTTCGATTACTTTTCTACGTTCCCAAAGAAAAGTAACGGAGACTTCGACCGGAAACGCACAACTCGATCCGCTACAGCATCAGGAGATCGGGAGTCCCGTACTGGCAATTTTCGACAGTTCTTACGAAAAGTGCGAAGGAGAATCGGGTTCCGTTCTGCGTAAGTCCGTCGTTTCGCTCGTAACCACCGCGACTCTTTTTTCTTTTTTTTATATGGAACTGACTAGCGCTTGACTGCCATCCCACCTGATGGTAAGTGGCGATGCAGCCGTAGATTGACTATAGACTCTTCTCCGTTCGACCTTCACTTTCGTTTTCACAAGTTCCGGCGTAGCGCCGCGCGTGTTCCTCGTCACGGCAGCAGCCGGCGGTCTCGTTTTTAATTGTAAACCAGTTAGATCGATTCTTGGGAAACATCACCCGATAGCGGTATTGGCACCCGTTTTCTTTCCGACTCTTGAAGCCTGTTCTATCCGTCTGTGAATTGTTAATCGCCATGATTGACGGCAGAAGTTACTGTTGGAATGGGCCCATTTTAAACATTTTTTTTTGTAGCATGTCGCCCAATGCATTTGTTGTGTCAAGTACGTCGATATTACATAAATTACAAAATTACTATGCATATTTGAATACAATTAACGTACGGTAAATCACATTTCTCTTAATAGCTCCTAGGGCACTCTTACTTTTAATTTTCTACTAGCGAGCCTCCTCGGCTTCGCACGGGTGCAATGTATTATACATATGAACCTTCCTCTTGAATCACTCTATCTAGTAAAAAAAAACCGCATCAAGATCCGTTGTGTAGTTTTAAAGGTCTAAGCATACATAGGGACAGTCAGACAGCTGGACGACTTTGTTTTATACTATGTAGTGATGCACAGCAAAGAGACTTTTTTTTACATTTCAAGTGAAAATTTAACCACAGTCACTCAACTGTCCACTAACACTTAAACTTTATGGTATGGTATTAAAGTTCAAACTTTTGTAGGGGAATATAGAAAAGTGTTGTTTTTAGACTTTTTCAGGCAATTTTTTTAAGTTTTGTTCCTTCATAAGAACCTTATCCTGATCATAACAAATACAACAAAAAAATCGGTCCCGCCGTTCGCGCGTGATGGCGTGACTAAGGGAAATAGGAATTCATATATATATATATTTTAATAAATAAATTAAAATCATGAACTCAATGTTACTTCTTAAACGTGCCTCAAAAATCTACAATAAAATATTCATATTGTAGGCTAAATCAAATCCAATTTCTTATCGAAAAAATTTGTTCTTGCATTATCATTTCATCTACCGAATACGATAATTTTAATGTAATAAGTATTATTAAAGTTTGTCGTGAAATAGCTGTTATTGGTGAACTCAGCTGTGGTATTGGTGACAGATTCATAATCGAATTTTATATCTTCATTTGCTCATTCTTCCTCTCGAATATATTAAATAATTAAATCCTTGACATTACTTTAACATTTAAAATGTTTGATAAATCTTAACCTTGTTTTAATGAATGACAGAAGTATAAACTATACTATCGCTATATTAACTATGATTTCGTATGTTATATTCCAATCTATTCATTTCATCTTAGCTTTTCAAGTTACGTGACGTATGTTTGGAAAGTAGAATCCCATTGTGACAATAATTTTCAGTTCAATAATATTTATGTCGCATTGGATATTTACGATATATGTGACAAATTTTAAAACGTCAATAAAACGTGGATAAACATCACAAATCTAGTGTTAATAATGTTTTTAACATAAACCGTCGTAAAATCAATAGTATAAAAAATGTTGCGTATAGTTAAAGCTAAACTGAATCAGACATATATACTGTTACATAACTAACGGTAAGCTTG